AAAAGCCCCCAAGAGGCCTCCAAGATGTCTTCAAGAAGCCTCCCACAGGCTCCAAAGAAGCCCCCCAAAGGCCACACAGCAACTGGAGTACAATGTCATTTTTCCAACCTGGGCGAACTGCGGCGCAGCGCCAGCCAGGTGGAAATTGGTCGCAGCGGCGCCCATGATTAGAGCCGGCGCTGGAAGGAAATCTGGGGAGGTAGTATGAAAAGGAAGGAGGGGGTAGAGGCCCCAAAGAAGAGGCCCAAGGAAGCTCCCAGGAGGCCTCCAGGAGGCCCCCAAGAGGCTCCCAAGAGGCTCCGCGACGACGTGACTGCACGTGCTCCGGACGTGCACCCCGCGAAGCGAGAGGAATCCCCCCCCCTCCTAAACAACACACCCCTCTTGGCCGCCCCCGATTTGGACGCCCGAAATGGGTACGGAAATACTGGGTACAATGCCCAACAATACATGTTATCCCAAACCAACAGCGGCCGCTGTTGGGCAGGCGACCTTCCACGCCACGACATTCCCCCCCCCCCCCTAGTCATCACCCCCGTCTTGGCCGCCCCCGAGCTCATGTCCCCCCCCCGTCCGTGCAAGCAAGCCTGCTGGCGTCCCGAACAGAACTGGGCGCTTCGCGGCGAGAGACCCGGGAGATCTGGACCCCTTACAGTTGGGGCCTTGACCCAAGGAACCCCAAATAAGGAACGAGGCCCCTTTTCTTCCATAGGTTAAACTTCGATGTCCCATCGAAAGCCTCAGGAACACCCGAGGCAAACAGTGAAGCAATGCAAGGAACACGGAGCCCCTCCCCAAAGAACAGGGTTCCTTCTTCAGCGCCCCGGCTGTACCCAGGACCACTGTTGCACCCAAGGCGCTTTCGGGGGCGGCCAAAAGGGGGGCGTCAAAGAGGGGGAGGGGGGGGGGGCGCAAATCATGGGCGCCGGCACGTGCGCGGCCCAGGGGGCGGGCCGGGGACGCACTGGAATAAGAAGAGGCGCCATGAAATCTGGGGAGACAACCAGAAACTTCCCGCCCGTGTTTCTAGGGGAATAAGCACCTGACAACCGTTGTCCTCTTCCCTCGTTTCCCCCTTTTCGGGCCCCTTGGGAGGCCTTCGTCTCCAACGCTGGAGTCGAGTCGGAATCCTGGTCAGAACGCACCCCGAGAGAGGTCCGGGGAGCAGCGGTATTGGTACCTGACTGTTCCCCAATGACAGGAACAGAAACTTTCGGAGGTCCGCGCAGATTTGCTGTGTCGGCGCTGAACCCCCCTCCCTGGCGCGCGGAGCGCGCCATGGGCGGCGCCAGGGGCGCCGCCAGAAGGCTCTGGCGCCGACCAACCAAAATCCGCGCGGACTTCCGAAAGTTACAATCAGGTTGACTTCTCGCGGGGTGCGTTGTGACCTCGACTCCAGCGGTGGAGAACGAAGGCCTACCAGAGGGGCCCAAACGGGGACAGCGAAGGAAGAGGAAAACGGTATTGGCGCCTTGTCCTCCTCTGAGTCTTTGGGTGACCCCAGAGGGGGTCCCGCTGAAAGGGCGTGGTGCAATAGATTTCGGGCAATTGTATTGCAAATGTACTGCGCCGGAGAGTTGTGTTGTATTATATTGCAAAAGGTGTGTTGCACGCAAAAATCCAGCAATACATGTGCGCTCCGGAGTGTATTGCACGCCTCAAATGTATTGCAGCCCCACAAGACTATTGCATCAAATCTATTGCACCAACCCCTTGTCGCTGGACCCCCTTTTGGGTCAACCCGAGAGTCGTTGTTCGTTCCCCGGTGCTTCACAACGAGGGGAGCCCAGCAGACACTAGACCGCTCCAAGTGTTCCGATGCGTTGGCCCTGGAGGCCTGGACCACTTCCCCAGGGTTAGGTCGGGCGTGTCCTCCTACAGAAGGACTTTGGACGATGAATCGAAACTGTTCGAAAAATATTCAACACATTTTCAAACATGTCCCCAAAATCGTCCCCCGACTATTCTTTTTTACTATTTTGAAGATCCCCCCTGTAAAGAGACAGGCCCGACTTAACCCTGGGGCTGGTTTGTCGTCCTGGGCAATTTTTGGCGACCCCGAGGCCCTGCGAGGGCCCCGGGAGGCCGAAACAAAAACCTCCCACTCCGATGTTCGGGCAAAACATCCACCCCGATAATAACCACCCCGACACGCGAAGGCGTCGTTTAGTAAACGCACCCAAAGAGGGGATCAAACAGGGTGGGGTTGTTTAGCAAACGAACAAGGCCGTTAATTACGCGCGAATTGTCCAATCCGGGTGGTTTTTCCTCCTTTGATTTGCGGAACGTCGGATCTCTTTGGGACGTGGGGCGGAACTTGATCAGGGACCGACCGTCCCGGCATTCCTATAGTCATACTACGAAATGCTCTGGAAACCCAAGAATGTTCTAATAACAAAAAGATGTTCTTAGAACGTGAGCCCGATGTGTTTAAAAACAAGAGTCCCAGCCAGAAATGTTCTAAGAACATTTCGCGGGAACCACAAAAGGTTCTTAGAACATTGTTTGGTGGGGCTATAGGCGAGCCGGGACGCTTCGCCACTGCTTGAAGCACGGCGTCCCAAGAACTCCCGATCCTTCCCCCAGGACCGGCAGTTCATCCCGACTCGTTCTTGGACGGCCCCGGGGCTCGGCGAGGGCCCCCAGGGGCCGAAACTTCAGAAAAACATCGCGTCCGGATCTTTCAACGATGCGGCTCGTTGCCACGCCAAAGATGGCAAAGGTTTGCGAGGTTCTGAGCCAGGCCTGGGACTTTCGAACGACTTCGTTCCGATGTTCTCTTGTGGCTATGTGTTGATTCCTCTTCCTCTCCATGTTCGCGTTCCTCCAGGTTCTCACTTTCGTTCGTTCAGTTGCTCCTGATATACAAATCGTGAGGGATTTTTCAACGACGCGATCATGTATGGGGGGATCCCCCCCTCGCTGTCGGCTGCACGCAAAAATGACCCTAGGCACGTTGGCCTTTGGTGCGCGGCCTGAGCGGGGGTCATTGGGGACACCTCACGTACAAGCCGCTACTGTCACGTCCTTTTCAGCGATCGGGGGGGCCCCCTTGGGCCTGCACCAAAGGTCACTCTGGCGAAAGGTCACTCCTACATTCAGATGCTCCAACCTACTTTAGCCTTGATCACCATAAAATCGAGCACCAGGAATGTACCGAAAGTGGAGGGTGTTCACGTGTCGGGCCCTGGAAGGCGATACTTCTTCGACACTGTTTCGATACTCCCTGGGCGCTCGAAATTATTCCTGGGATATGATCCTTAAGTACGATGGGGAGCATTTTTTTAGAGCTCGACGCCCGCACAGCCTGGGTGAAAAAAAACACAGCAGCGGCGGATGGGAAACCACTGCTGGCAGTGAGGGAGACCCCACTGACCGAAAGAGTACCTCCAGCAGCCCCATGGCCAAAATGGCTTGAACCAAAATAGCTACGAAACGACAGGGAGCAACAGAACTCTTTCATGTAGCTCACCGTGGTGCCACTGGCTGGCGGCCCGAGCCCCGCCCGCCCAAGCCACGCTTCCGCCGCGGCTAGGGCTCGCCACGGCCCCCCCCCCCAGGCGCCCCACGCAAGGAGGCACCGCGGCCGCTGGCTCGCCATCCCTCTCCAAATCTCCTCCTCCCCTCCTCCTCCTCCTCCTCCTCCTGCTGTTCCTTCTCCTCCTCCTCCTCACCCTCCAACCTTTTCTCCTCCTCCTCCTCCTCCCTTCCCTCCTCCTCCTCCACCTCCACCTCCTCCTCCGCCTCCCTTCTCCTCCTCCTCCTCCTCCTCCACCTCCACCTCCCCCTCCACCTCCTCCTCCTCCTCCTCCTCCTCCTCCTCCTCCTCCTCCTCCTCCTCTCGAAATCTCCCACGATGTGAATTTGTTGGTCCCAGCGGTCTTACTCGACGCTGGCCTCTGGGGCCCATCGTCGGCCCCGGGGGCCATCGGAAACGGATCCGGGGCGGAAAGCTACCCACAGATCCGACGTCTACGGCTTTTCAGTACGCGGCCCCCCGCAGTATCGTCCCTGCCTGGCGGCGCGCAGAGGGGGGTGGAGGGAGGGGGGAGGGCTTCTTAGAAGGAGGCTGCTTCTTAGATCTTAGAAGGGAGGGGGGCGGGCTTCTTAGAAGGGGAGGCCTTCTTAGAGGGAGGGGGGAGGGCTTCTTAGAAGAAGGCGCCAGCCTTACATCTATAGATAAGGACCGCGGTTTCAAAGAAGCAGGGGTGCTTCTAAGAAGCCCTCCCCCCTCCCCCCGCCCCCCTCTGCGCGTGGCTGACCTTCTGTGGGGCCAGTTTTTCATCCAGAACACTTGCCGTATAGCCCGAGGGCCCGGCAAGGACCCCCCCTGGGAGGACGAACACGGCGAGAAACTGCCGAATTGCAGTGTTCCAACGCTGGAGGCCTGGATTTTTACCCCAGGTGGGAAGCGGAGGAACCTCGACTGCGGCCGCGCACTGAAAAAATCACGCCGCTGGATGTCTGGGTCGGTCCCCGACGCTGCACGGTTTCCCCCAGGGCCGCAGGCGACGCGAGGAGGAGGGGGAGGTGGAGGAGGAGGAGGAGGAGGAGGAGGAGGTGGAGGAGGTGGAGGAGGTGGAGGAGGAGGAAGGAGGAGGAGGAGGAGGAGGAAGAACCCCTCTCGTCCGCGCACCCGCCTCGGGCCACGCTGCGCCCTTTTTCTCCTCACCCCCCCACCCCCACCCCCCCCTCCCCCTCCCCCTCCTCCTCCTCCTCCTCCTCCTCCTCTACCTCCTCCTCCTCCTCCTCCTCCTCCTCCTCCTCCTCCTCCTCCCCCATCCTCCTCCTCCTCCTCCTCCCCCTTTTCCTCCTCCTCCTCCCCCTCGCCCTCCCAGAGGGGGTCCTTGCCGGGCCCAGGAGGAGGAGGTGAAGGAGGAGGAGAAGGGAGGAGGAGGAGGAGGAGGAGGAGGAGCAGGAGGAGGATTTACCTAAGCCCTCCGGAGAAACCCTCCACCCGACGCGTGCCTCGGGCCCCTGCCCCGCCCACCCCCCCGCACTGCTGCTGCGGCTGGAGCGGCGGCGCCGTCGGCGAGGCGAGGCCTGGCTGCGGGCCCTGGCCGGCGAGCTGCTGCTGATACCTGGCAGCCCCCCTGGAGGCGAGGCCAGGGCAAGGATCGAACGACGACGACGACGTCGTCGTCGTTGTCCTCCTCCTCCTCCTCCTCCTCCTCCTCCTCCTCGTCGTCGTCGTCGTCGTAGTCGTCGTCGTCGTCGTCGTCGTCGTCGTCGTCGTCGTCGTCGTCGTCGTCGTCGTCGTCGTCGAGCCCCACTGGGGGCAGGGCACGTCGAGAGTCTGTGAGGTCTGGCGGCTCCGGAGGACGTGTGGGGCGCCGCGGCCTTCTCAGAGCGTCCCCGAAGGCTCCGAAAGAGCGCCCCGGAGCGCTCTGAGAGGTGTAGCCCTGTCCTGGCCCTGCGCGACCCCTTGAGGAGGGGCACGCGGAAGGACAAGTACTGGTAAGGAGGGCCCACAGGGCCAGAAACGAGGGGGGACTGAGAAGGCGGGGTCGTTCTCCCCCCTCCTTCTACCCCTCTTTCCCCTCCTCCTGCCCCGCGCGACCCCTTCTCCCCACTGTCTGCCCCGCCCACCCCTTGAGGAGGGGGAAGAAGGGTGGGGGGCTCAGGGAAAGAGCAAACACTGGCGGAGGGAGGAGGGGACAACGGGGGCGAGGGAAGAGGGACAAGGCGAGATGGGATGTGCAATTAAGAAAGAACTCGCTGCGGGGCAATGAAAGATAGTGAAGCGCCGGCAAACGACGACACATCCACAGAACTCTCATATATGATCGTCAAGGGCGCCCAAGCTCGCGCTTCGAATGCGCGAAGCGCCAAGAACTCGGCGCTCTCGCGCCGCCCCCCAGGGGCCGGGGGAGAAGACGAGGATGAGCAGTCGGAGCCGGACCGCGAAGCGCGAAGGACTTCGCGCCCTCGAGGGCGCCCCTGGTCCAGGTGCCAGAGCACGCGTCGCCGGGCGCAGACCGTGCGGGCTCCGCTCCACGTCGGTCGGCTGCTCCACGGAGGGAGGCGGGGCTGAAGGGGAGGGGGGCGGGTGAGAGGCACGGGAGCTCTGAATTCACCCTGGAGACGCCGACCTTTTGTCGTTCAAAGTCCTCGAAAGTCATATGGAAGGCATCTTCGGAACAATTCTTCCGCGCGAGCTTGGAGGAGGCATCTGGCAACTCCCGTGGGGATAGCCTGCATGGGGACGGAACCGTGCTGCTGCTGTTCCTCCTCTTCCGCCGCCAGGCTTGGACGTGCCAGTCACCACCGCTGCCGCTGTCGCCGTCACCCGAGTCCGTGCCCTATGTGGCGGCCGCAGTGGGAGTGCCGAAACGCGCCCGAAGTTCATCAAGGCATGCAGGTGCGAATCCGACCTGTCTGGTTGCTGCCTCAGGGGGTGCCCGTGCTCCGGGGGGGCGGCAGCACCGCCCCTCCACGACGCGATGCTGACGGAGCCTGCGGGGTGGGCCCCTTGCATGTGCTGTGCACTTCAAGCTTGGCTTCGTCTTCAGCTGTGGGTGCACGTCGAGGCGCCGTAGGATCAGCCCACCCAAACATTGGTTGTCCGCTCGCGCGGGGCGTCTGCACACCGGGCTCCTTGGCCGACCAGACGACCCGGTGCCTGCCTCGGGGCCCCTGCGGCAGCCAGAAACCCACGAGATGCGCGCTCGCCCTGCCATTGACACCGATGCGGCGCCCCCAGTCCACGAGGGCAGCCTCGTGTTTCGAACGTTCGCGCAACGCCCACCCTCGAACCCCACGAACATTCATGTGCAAGCGCGTCTGTCTTTCGCTTCTTCGAGTAGGGGATCGACTACATAATTGGTTTACCCCAACGCATGGACGTTCTCGTCGAACCTACTGAAAACAGCTGAGGGTTCTCAGATGACTTGCAAACATTCGACGCATTAGTCGTACATTCGATTGAAAAAAAAAACATTCGGGGAACATGAATTGAGGGGTGCGAAAACGTCCCTACCCTGGGTCACAAATGCGTGGTTTGTAAGTGTACTGGGAGCTCCCAAAAGGCCAGAGAACCGCCAGGACGCTGCGCGACGCGCGCGATATGCAGGGCTGTTCCTGTCAGCCCACAGGAGGTTCAGCGCACAGCGCCTCGTAAACCAGGGCAGTGGCGCTCTTTTTGTTGGGTGACCCAAAAAGGGGGTCCAGCTGAAAGGGGGTGGTACAATAGTTGCAAGGCAAGTGCATTGCAAATCTATTGCGCCAGAGACTTATTTAGCATTGTAGTGCAAGTAATGTATGGCACGCAGAAATCCAGCAACGCATCCGCGCCCCGGAAAATGTGGCACGCCCCAGATGTACTGCGACCCTACCAATCTAGTGCACCAGATCTACTGCACCACCCCCTTGTCTCTGGCCCCTTTTTAAAAAATCAGCAGCCGCAAGCGAACTCGCAAACGGCGAGTCGAGTCAGAGCGGGCCGCGCAAAGACGAATTACCCAAAGCCGGCGGGGCCACAGGCATCACCACGGCGGACCAAGCTGGACCCCCTTTTGGGTCAACCCGAAATTTCTACGCCCTTGAACACTTCCGTGGTCGATCCCTGGCTCGACTGCTGTTCCTGCCCTGTTCTGCCCCCCCTCCGGCAGGCCGCCCCTGGCCCCGCATCTCACTAAGGCTGCACGGCTCTGCCCACGAGGAAAACGAGGAGGAGGAGGAGGAGGAGGGGGAGGAGTAGGAGGAGGAGGAGGAGGAGGAGGA